CATGGAACGATGATTATAAGGAGATTCTCCTGTTTTGTTTTTCTTTACAATTTATGCTGCACAAGCCCCAGAACCAGACTTGACTGAGCTTCTCCACTCTTTCAGCTAGAGCGTCAGTGTCGCATGCACCGGCCATAGTGAATTCACTCGGCACCAGGTGGCCTCGAGGGAATGCGCACTCTTTCTTTTCTACCTCCTTGATCTATCTCCACAACAGAAATCACGCACTCGCCGCACGAGCCTGTCCTTTATGAGGAGGTATGAAGTAGATTATCACCCTTTCGTGCATCTCGTTCAACAATTTTTTATCTATTATAAAGTTAGGAGCTAAAGGTATGGTGGGCCCCGCTGTCATGTGGTGGGCCGACATATGACTCTCGCCCACCATGGTGAGATCCTCCCAACATGAGGGCTGGCAGAGAGCAAGACCCTCATGAAGCTAATGACTTAGCCCTGAGAAGGTGACTCATGGCTATGTGGGAGAAGTCAACCCGAGAGAGAGCTGCTTCTCCCCCAGGATCTCTCCATTGAGGTTTTTTTATCTTTAGGGGTTTAATTAAAGAGTAAGGAACTATACGGCCTTATTGAGAAAGCAACCTGAATTTATTTAGGTTAGTATCAGTGTTTTTGGACGCTTAGTATTTAGGTCCACCTGAGCCGAAGAAGAATGAAATCTATAGGGTCCTAGCCGTTTTACTTCGTGAGTCAGTAAGGTGTGATTTTATTTAAGTCGATATTATATTTACATCCAATCGGAAGGGTTAAGGACAGATGCCCCGAAGATCATAAGGCGTTTGCGGATCCAGCTGGCCGGAAGGGCCTTATCAGGTGTCCGCGTGCGAAAGTAAGAGCTGAGAGTTAGTGGGGGTACGCGAAGGGAAGTTTGAGGGTCTCGTTCAACAACCTATGAAGTCATCTTTGATATCGAACCATCTTCCTTCCATCCTTCGGGCCAGAGTTTTCTGGAGACTCCTTGGACTGGGTTACCTCGTAAGACAGATTTGTTGAAGAGTCCAAATGTCTTCCTCCGTGGTGTCTGAGGGGAAAAAGATCGGGCACCCCAAGGAAAGCATCGGAGACTAATTCCAGCTGTATGGGGTACTGACTCGTTATAGCGGCTACTTAGATGTCATATGGCGTCAGTTGTATAAACTTTTGTTTCTAGCCATTGTCAAATGGTTATTAATTATGCTTATTAATGGTTATTAATTAGTTAAATGGCACATTAGTTAGCCCAAGAAAAACGGCTCTTTAACGTTCAACGAACGTCCTTCAAAAACGTCATGTATTGGTGATCAAATCCACTGGCGCGGTAGCCCCAATTACCATCAACCCGTTCCCGTAGCAAAATCCAACCTCCTCGTATTCCTCTCTGCGAGTATCAACAGGAACGAGATTAGGCATGTTTCTTCCTCTCAACACAGAATAGCTCCAGCAATTTTGAAGCTCCATTTTCCCGTGGTTGTGGAGAACATTGAAATTCGCTTTTTGAAGATGGGAATTTCATTCCGGTTTTTTTTTCTCCCCCCGCTCTGTGTAGCCACTCCTGGGGGGGTTTTGGAGGAAAGAGACCAACCATAAGAAAGATATTGAGTAGTAGACGACGAAAAGTGGCCTTTTTTGTTGTTTGCGATCCACCATTTCGCCATTAAAAAAAAAAGAAATTATCTATCATTGATTTAGGCTTAGAGTGCTGGGGGCCGTAACTAGAAGAGTCTTATTTATTATGACGCTATTATGCTGCTATTAGGAGGTTAGAGCGTTATTAGTGTAAATGGAATGCATAATATTGGACTCAGCATCCAGTTATCTGAGGATATAATATCAAATAATATCGCATATAATAGCAATGGCCTAATTGGCCATTTAAACAGCCCTTTAAAATCTGTTGTGGCTGTTCCTAATTATTTTGTCTGAGAAAAACATTTAGGGTGGATTTTTGAACAGAGCATTATCCGATAATGCTGCTTTATTTACCGGATTTATAATGCATTTTCTCATAAATGAAGCTGTATTATCGGATAGTTCTCTGTTCAAAAATCCGCCCTTAATCTCGACAGAATTTGAAAACTTTATTGAGAGCGTCTCACAACACTGTCTCGAAAAGTCTTGGCATTATTTGATGCAGGTGCATCAAATGAGCTTCCCAAGTCAGCATCATCGGTGACGGTAGCATCTTCCGACTCGATGTCAAGGTCTGGAACTCCAGCTGTTTTGTTGTGGACAAAATAATTGTGGCACAAGTCACAATTATTTTGCAGCATTTTTCAGGTTCCACTTGCAACGATCCGCATGACTTGAGCAGGCACCTCAATCTCGACTTCCAAACCCCAAAACAACGTTCAATGATGCATCTTGTCTGCTAGAGAGCTTTATTATACTTTTTCTCGGAAGAAGCGGGAGAATCTTTCATTATGGGTGTCAACAAGCACATCTGAAGAGCAAAGCCACTGTCACCAAGCAAATATCCGTTCCCAAAAATCCCCATTCTCAAATCGCACTTTGACGTCACGTGTATTCCAGATGAAGCTGTCATGTGTGCTTCCTGGCCGTTTGACAACAATATTCGTGAAGATAAGGTCAGAGTTGCAGATGCCTTCAACGTTGATTGAATGAAAGAATTTTCTGTTCACGTAAACTTCCTCATCCGCAGATGGAGCCTTGATGGAAATTTGACTTTCATCAATTACACCAAGGACTTTTGGGAACTGTGCGATGGCGAAGAAACCTTGCTTTACAGCATTCAGTTCCCTGGGTTCTTCGGGAAAATAAATGAAATCATTAGCTCTTTGGCACAGAACTTCTGATATATCCTTGATGGCTCTACAGAAACTACAGGCTCTCTTTTTTTTAGAAACAGTCATCCTTGTCACACCAACGGGGTCGCCAGCTTCACGGAATAAATCTCCTGTTGAATAATATCTCAGAGCAATGAGAACTTGAAGGCTTACAGAAAGAGATCGCTTTCTACGAGTGGGTCTTCGTAGCTCGTCCAGTAATTGGATGCAATGAAAGAAGAAATCACAATGCCGAGGTCTATGAAATCAACGCTATTATCTCTCTGAGGTCCCGACCTATAATAGGAATCGGTTTAAATTCTCTCTATTAGGAGGCAAAAAGCCGTTCCAGTTACGCTAATAAATTCCTATTTAGGTAGATATTATACGGTTAGGCTCTATTTGGCTTTCTAGTTACGACCCCCTGGCTTTGGTCCCGTCCCCCAGTGTTGCCGGATATCGTGCCGAAAATATGCCAGATTCAAGAAACCTTCGTATCGGCATCTGGATCTTCTGTTTTTTAATGTATGAGATAATTTTATGCCGAGTTCATGAGTTGAGCTGAGAATGAAGTGGTGGTTGGCAATGATTGATTGATGTGGGATATGGAGATATCTTATCCGGACATCCCTGAATTAACAGAATGACGCGCACCATTTTTTTTTCTTACCCTAAACTTCAACGTTCGCCAGATGATTTAAATATCCTCTCTAACTCTTTCTGAGCTCTTCAAAGTTAGCGTAAATTACTTAGGTTCGGCATCCCACACTTGGAGCCTGAATTCCTCTGGAATCTAGGCAATTTCCGCTATCTTTAACTCGAAAGGGTCGGCAGCTGCTGGAGATACGATCCAGAAGATGACTTAGCATTTTCCTCCCTGGTTCCTCCAGGATCCTTCAAGCGTGATGGAATCATGTTTCCGACGGTATTCGAGAGGGCCGTCGTTTTTTCCCATAAGAAAACCAGAGAAATCTACGAAATCACCCAATTCTTATCGGTGCTTTCCCAGATCGCATCTCGGAAAATTTTTGGAAAATACAATTGGTCGTTCAGTAATCTCTTTGAAACGATCGAATGAAATGAGACTTAGGGAAAATATTGAATATTGTCATCTGTTCAACGATGTGGGTTACGTGAATGCGCTCGTGCCGTCGATAAGGGGATCGAGCTGGAGCAAACCATCGAGAAATGCTTTGCTACGGCTAGTTTTACATTTGTCGCATGTTTCTCTACGGAAAACTTGTTGGATTCGATTCGCCAAGGTTTCTGGCACGAACTTTCAAATGAATCCCATTATAACGCGATTTTGTGTGAAAGGCCAAACGGATGTCTCGACTATCTGCGATATAACGATATTATCGTCTACATAAGCAATACGCGATACGCTTTCCAGCCGGTGAGAGGCCAACTCAGATCGATTCCAGGAGATGCCTTCGTTCATTCCTTCATTAATCCTTTCACAATCACGGCTCAGCTATTCGCGTTTTGAGGAATATCACAGACTAAAAAAAACTACTGGAGGAGTCAAGCCAATGTGAGTAGTCTTTTTTTCTCTCTCCAATCATTTTGTTAGTAAAATGAAGAAAAATCTAAATGCACCCTTCCGAAGCTGAGAATTGATTTTTTGCATTACGCTGTAAAAACTTGACCAGCAACTCTCTTCGTTCTCTGACTTCATGTCTTAGGCGAAAGCGTAAAATGCCTCTGCTTCACTAAATTTTCTAAATTTTTCGCCGATTTGCCGGACTGTCGGCAGCGACCCGATTTTGCTGTACCGTTCTGCAAATTCGTGGTTAAAAAGGCGAACTGACGAGTCATTTCGTGGGGATTTCGGTTTCCTCCAGAGAGACCTCCAGCGACGACGTTAAGATTCATCATCCCGTTCCTTCGTGGAACCGAACAGCATGCACTTCACTTTTAACTACTTTTATCCAGCACTACTTCTTCGGTAGTGGGTGCCACTCGTCTGCTGTGGGGTGTGAAGGTGCATCTCTATCTCTTCCCCTCGTCTATTTGTACTAACACGGTGTTCAACGAAAGCATTTTGTCAGTGCTCCTACAGTTGACAGGGACATTGCGAAACTCCAGCGAGTCACTGCAAGCAACATTAAAGACTAACGTCACAGCTGGAACGAATTCGCGGTTCACTCACCTCTCGGCACATCGATGCGACTCACCGTTACGTTCATACCGTGCAGGATCAGAAACGAACGGAATCCGGAAGACGATCGTATCGGCAATGTATTAACAGTCAAGATGGAAAAACCTGAAACATGGAGAGTTTTCCAGAACAAACGACAGAAAAAAAGCAGAGAAGCTGGAAGGATCGATGTGTGCGCGTGAACGAGGAGCATCAGTAGGCGGTCCAGATGACGACCCGCTTCGCTTTATCACAGGTGGCCAGCATGTCCCCGTTCGGGTTCCACGCCGTCGCGATCACCGCCGCCCTAGGACCAAGTCACAACATCATTTACCGTATCGAATCCATGCTACGACAGTGCCAGGCATCCAGATCGCACTAAATTACACATTTTAGGGTCTATTTCATCATCTCACTTTTTTTTGTGAATTCCTATAGTTTTCAAAATTATTTGCTCTGCCGAGCTTTCAGCGAAGCCACGACTAATATCGCGATTTGAAGACATTCAACACGGATTTCATCCATTTATTTCCAACCCTGTTTCGAGTGATGCTGCTGACGCACAAGGGGCGCATGACGGGCGCTTGGAAGGCCTCATCCTATTCGTAACAGGAAACACGGTAGGCTCGATCTCGTTACGGACATCTTCCAGTTTCAAGATACGTCCATATGGAAAACTAAATATTTACGTGGGAATGGTTCAGATAGGCTCCAGAAGTAAGAGAATGTTCTGTGAAAAAACGCTTTCTGATTTTTGGTCTTCAACTGCGCCAAATGATTTCATTTTCGCGTATTAAATCCAGTGGGCGAGACTGTACATGGCACGACGAAAGAAGATTTTACGATTTTAAGTCGATGATCCGATCGCTCGTTGGCCTGCGTCTCACCTGGCTACGTTCGCACGCCGAGTTTCACGGCAACTCCAATTTTTGGTTTGGGAATATGGGAAGGGAAAAAGAGCTTTCTCGAGAAATTCACGGAATGACAGAGGAAAAGCAGTAGCGGTATCAAATTACTTGGAAACAAAACGACCTGGTGAAAAAAAAGGCGTTGGCTAACGACCCTAGGAGCCTTTATTCCTACTCATGGTTTCCCAGACGAAGGTTCCAAACTACGACAACTGGGGCCATTGCTTTTTGTTTTTTAAACTAATTTAATCGACTTCCAGAGAAGCTTATAAAAATATATTTTTTAATATTCTTTTTCTGCAGAGCTAAGTATGTGTGAAACTTGAAATTGGAATTCGTGCATGGGTGTGAATGTTGCACAAGACTACCACCTTCCTCACCTTCATTCCAGTCTCATGATAAGCGCCATGAGAAAAATTTCGTTCATATACATATAACATATTTCTCCTTCATAAATGAACTATTAGGCATTATACCATTTATTAACTAACATTTTGAAGGGTAATAAATCACACTGTCGTGTAAGAAACTAACGTTCCCACCAATCCGTTTCACGCTATCCATTTCGATGAAACCACTTCAATCGTGAAAATTACGTTGAAATACCTTTGAAAGCACTCGTTACATCTCGCTGAGCAACCTCATTCCGGAGTTTCTTTGGGGAGAATTCTCGGGGGATTACTTACTATCACTTTACGCATTCTAAGGGTTTGTTCGACTCGAAGCCCAGCTACCGGATGCGACCTACACTATTCCTTAAATTTTCCTGGCTTCCTCGCATCGCCATTCAAACATCGACTTGCACGCAATCCACTTGCACGCGATCGTTCCTGGCATTTTACACGCATTTAGCAGTTCCCGGTTCCGATGTCGTGGACATTCAAGTGGGAAACAAACATGCGAGAAGAGACCACAAAGCATCTGCCGAGTGATTCTCTACTTATTCTTTGTTCACACGTTTACCGTTACTCCACTCCCACTACGGGCATGACGTATCGCAAGTCTTTCATCGCTGGAATCACGCGTTTCGAAGGTTCTATGACATCGCTCGTGGCAAATCTCAGCCATTATATGCAAAGAGGCCCCCGGAACCCATCCATTACGGCAGGGTGTCGGCCCGAACCGAATGCGAACTGGATGCGGCATTCGGAAACTCGGCACTCACGTGTGTCCCTTGAGAACCTTCTCCACTTGGAGATTTGCGACGTTCCAGATGAACACGGACCCGTCCACGGAGCCGCAGCAGATGAAGCGTGAGTCCGGGCTGAACACCGCCCGCGACCAGTCGCAGCTCACCTTGAACCCCTCGCCGCTAATCCGAACAAAGCGTTCCGTCAAGAGGGATGCAGAATCCGATACTCTATCCGTATAGACTAACGTCTTCTCTTCGAAAAGATTCTCAAACGACGAAATCGGTTAGGAATTCCTAATTCCGTACAGAAAATAAAAAACTGATTACAAACAGACTCCGAAAATGAGATACATGCTGAACCATTCGTAAAATTAGAAATGCAAGATCAGCTGCAATTATATCACTGATTGAATAGAAGGTCAACAAAGGAAACTGGCCAACATAAAAAAAAATCCGAGAAGTGAAAAGCTGGTAGTGCACGTAGGTCCCTTTCCCTTTCATTGAAGAGAGTAGATTTGGGGCATCCCAAAGCAAAAAACCAATCTACATGGGTCCGTCAAATGAAAACGATAATTTTTTTTTCTTGCAGTGAGTGTATTATTTCCCCACCATTGTTGAGGCACAGATTCCAACGTCTCGCAATATTATTTATACCAGCCTCATAAAATTTATGAGGCTGCTGTTTGAACCGCCACGCAACAGCCTCCTACACTTCATCGTCCGTGCGTAGACGCTATGCTATGCTGGACGCTGATTATGGAGTGAATCGAGCTGTGACTGATTCCCGAATCTGCAGTCCATTCATCCAGTGAAACGTTTCTGTTGCTCGTATGAGCTCGTCCACCTTTGTGATCATTTCTGTGGCGATATCGTTGACCCGACCTGGGCGAGAGTCATCCTTCAAACGCGCCCGCTTCGGAAACGTTTGCACCACATGTACGCTCGCCGCCGTGGTAAAAAGCTGTTGATGTCAACAGCACTCATTCGGGAATGGATTTCGATGGGTGACACGCCTTTAGCAGTCAGAAATTGAATTACAGCACGCCGGGCTTCCTTGAACGCACAAGGCACTGTGAGCGCCATGTTGCTTAAGCGATTGCGCTCTTCTTTCTGCTTGCATGGTGTTGCCGGCTAAGACAGATATTCGCGCAATCTCGGCAAACATAAACAGAAAATACTGGACGACCATCCATAGGGAATTATTTTCTATCGCGATTTTCTCATTTTCATTTGACTGACCCTCGTACATTTAACGCTTTTTCTCACTTTAAGCGGGCGGTCATAAGTCTTCACTTTTTCCTCCGAGGGAAGGCATAACGATTTTTTTTCCCCCAGATAGACTAATCCTTAAAGCCATCGAGTGTGGCGTCGGTCACGAGAAACCCATCACCGCAAGATAAACGAAAGATGGAATACGTGGAGGAATCGTGGAATCTCGTTTCGCCGATGGAGCGAACGGAACTCTACCGACGAGGAAAAGAGCGAGGCATCGAGAGGACTCACTAGAAGGTGCCCGACACCTGGTTCATCCTCAGGTCCAGGATCTTCAGAGTGTCGTCTCGGACGCACGTCAGGAGGTATTTTCCATCTGGAACAGAAACAGCGGTTCCTGACCCGTTCCCCTCCGATCGTTTCTCACACGTGTGCATTCTTTTAATGTACATTGGATATAAATAATTACGAGGAAATAATTATGGTATTCTGAAGAAATTAAAAAGAATCGCTATATCCTCATCTGGGGACGATGGGACGCGCGCTGCGAGAACCGAGAGGACGAAGGAGGAGCACGGTTTTCCGTACCTCGGGAGAGGTCGAGGGAGGTCACCTTCCCCTGGAGTAGGATCTGGTTGGCGTCGCTCTCGGAGCGGGAGTCCCAGAACCGGATGCGCTTGTCGAAGTGACCGCTGATGATGTTCGTCGCGCTGGAGTCGCTCGTCACCACGTCGTTGCAGCTCGAGCCGGCGAAGATCGTCCGGATGCCTAGCGTTAGGATCGTGGTAACGATGAGAACGATAACAATAGCGATACGGGCGTAACTCTCGCGTCTTCGCGAAGGGGTCGAAGACTCCGAAGGCGCAGGCGAGGCAAAAAGGAGACGGGGGTGGGGGGTTTCCGGATAGAAGCAGACGACACCTGGAGTGCCAGAGGGAGTCCCACGCCTTCTGACGTTCCGTCTGCCGTCTGCTTCTTTCCGAGGTTCACCGCGGTCGATTAGTTGCCGGTCTTTAAACGCTCTCGCCGGTGTCGCCGAAATCCTCGCCCGTTCGCCCGAGAGCCTTCATTCCTGAAATTCTATTTTTCTCGACGGAATACCCACATGCACGACTCCGGAGATCCCAGACTTTGAGGGTTCGGTCGTGACTCCCCGAGACGACTTTACAGGCTTCGAGAAACTTCGCCGCCATCACCTTCCCGCTGTGACCGGTTAGAGTGTGCTACAAGGAACAAGAAAAAAGGAACCAGGACTAAAAATCACATTCACCTGTCAATTATTTTCACGTAACCGCACACCGACGACCGTACACCGGTAACCTATTCAAACATGCATTTCACGTAGACGAGAGACAAGGCGCAGAAGCTTTGTGCGATGCCGAAACGTCGAAGCAACTCGGTGGCAAGTCCGATAAATATTCGCCGCTGTTGCTTGTCTTCCATCGTCGCCGATGGACTGCAAAAATTGGTAAAAACTTGTGCTTCTTTTTGCCTCTAGAAAACGCGTCGACCCACCTTGCACTACGGCATCTTTGGATTTGAGTGGTCAAGTCACGTCCCGTGTGAGATGATCCTCATAAACCGCCATGGCGCAAGTCGTTACAGACGTCCTCTGGGGATCGACCGCGGTCGAAATCACGATAATGTCGGGGTGAAGGTGCGTGAGAACCATCTCTTGGGTGGCCTTCCCAGGAGAATCCCAACGTAGTGCCCGTCGTGCCCCCCCGTCCCACTCCGACCCCTCCCGCCCCACGAAGAGGGAGCGGGAAAGTTTCTGCGGCAAACGGTAGATGGCAGACGCTGTCGTCCCCTCGGAAAGCGACCGAGGGTCTGGTCCCGAACATTCCGTGCAGGTCTCTTCATTACGTGAGATCATCTCCTCTCGTCGTCCCGTCATCCATACAGATTGAAGCGACGGGCTCGACCAGACCCAGGCCTCGTGTCCCCTGCCGATCTACCCCGATGGGAAACGAATTCCTCCCTGCGACGGATCGCATCGCACCGCAGCCAAGAATCAATTGCACGAGTTTCTGGCACGTCTCGAGACACGCCCGGCCGTTTCCCCTTCATGCTTTATAGAGTACCCGAGAGGGCCAAAACCCGATTTGCACATCACGCACGAAAATATCGTATCCATACGATGCGATCCCTTCCCTTCGAGTCGCAGCAGGCAAACGAGATCCGAACCTCTCCCGGTTCGTGAAATGGAGCCGACGAGGAAAACCAGCTCTGCCGGCGCGACAAAGGAGAGGGAGGAAGAGGAGATTCTTCCCAGAGGAGGGGATTCTTTTCGTCGTTTGCTTAAGAGAGGCGGCTCGTCGAGCCCGTCTCATTCTCCTCTGTCTCCTCCAGGAAGGTCAATGTCATCCTCGCCTCTAATTCCCCCCCGGAAGAAGTGGAATACGCATGCGATCGGGCTCGTTACGTTCGCTTCCCACTCTCCGTGACGAAGGTGGTATCACCGCTTCTAAGATCTGATGCAGAGATGAGATCGGTCGTCATCTGGGTGCCGCTATGTAACTTTACTCCGTTCCATTAGGGTACGAATAAAGTATTTTCCTTCGTCCCTGAGAGGACCAAATTTAGTGAGATATAAAAGTGAAGTTGTATATGAAAGAAACTGCACGTAAAGTAGAGAAAATAAAAAAGTATTTTGGATGCAATAACAATACGTATAAATATATATATGCATTTCATATACACATGTATGCATCCTATACATACATTTGTATCCATCCTGCATATAAGCAGGATGCACGTCGAAGTATCGGCAAGTCCAACATCGATTGGACCCCCTCCATATGAATAACTGCTGCGATACGTCGCGGCATAGAGTCCGCCGGTTTCAGACATCTTTCCAGAGAAATCTTCCTCCTTTCTGCCGAGTCAGAGCGTGTTCCTGGGGCTATTTCTCGCAAGCGACCACATGTTTATGCTGAACAGGACGATGATCCCTGTCATGCCGCACGAAGTACCAGTGCGTGATTAGCGCATATAAAACTATTGCCAAGGCCAGGAGAGAGCCCCCATTTGAACCCGATCGGACACTCGTCTCGCATCCCCCTAATCTATATCGGCTTCGAAAAATTGTGGAACGAAGGTGGCTGCTAAACGGTGGATCCTATCGACACTCAAAGGTTCGGTGCGAATATAAACGTTTGGGAAGAACTACGCTAAAACGCAGTCGGGAACTAGAGAACGGCATGCCTCGATGCGTCGCAGCAGTCGCACCGACGGTGGTCCTACGGTATAAAAGACCCGATGATACGACGACCTTCCATCCTGCATCACGTCCGGATACATTTAGGAAGGCCGGGTACACCTACGCATGCGTCATTATTTTTCTATCGATCCGTAGTACATTGTCGAATTCCATGAGAGAAAATCACGGAATGCATAAAATACGAACTTAAAAAAATAATCGAAGAGCAAAAGAATTTGACGGAATGGAGACATCTACAGCCGTAGCATCCATCACCTTGATAAAATTTCCACAATGAGGCAAATTATCGAGAAATGTGGAAGGCGCAGTAACACCAACAAAAATTACTTTCATCGAAGTAGGGCGCGCGAGGCAGTTTCGCAGAGTTAACACCCCACTGTCTCCCCAAGAACCTCGCAGTCTGGATAAATGCAACAGTCCTGACAGGGGGGGGGGGGGGGGGGGGGGGGGGGGGGGGGTGGGCGGGGGGGGGGGGGGGGGGGGGGGGGGGGAGTTAGCACCGTCAGCCGATAACGGTGTAGGCGCGACGATCGAGGCAAACATGGCAAGACCTCATTTGTCACAGTCGAGAAGGCGAGGACGATAGGGAAATCTTTCGCCTCCGATGGCCAGGGACTCCGGAAATAACATTCCGAGCCCCAAGAGAACCGCAACCATTCTGTTTCTTTTTTTTTTTTTCTTTCCCCCTTTTCTTTGGAAATTCCATTCCGACCGAGAGGAAACTGTTTCACTGAAGATTTTCCTGTAGAGAGTTCAGTGCCTCCGTTTACGGCACTTCATGACATCTTTCTCGTCGTTCACGCATCCATTCATTCATCGATTCGTTTCGCATTTTTTTCTTCTTGCGATTCCGTAGTCGTTCACGCACGAATCCATTCATCCATTCATTTCCGATTTTTTCCGAGATTCGGGCAAGGTCATGCAAAAGTTATTCAGAGCTGCAGGCATTTTGCGAATAAATCGCCTGCGGAAGGGGGGGGGGGAATCCGAATCGTTGGGGGTAATTATGTGGTTGTTATTAAATAACCTGCTTGGATACCCTTGGGGTATCCCACGAGCCAGGTATGTCTCCAGTCTGAACCGCACCTTCGCTTTATTGCATAGACCGAGCACCAACCGAAGAGGAAACGACTTGCAGAGCTAATTCGTGGAACCCATGTAATCCGAGCGTTGAGGTCTCCCAGCCAAATGACATCATCGTTATTTTTTTGCCTCCCTCGGCGGCCATCCCCCACCCCCCCCCCCCCCCCATCCACTGAGTTTATGTGAGCTCGAAGCGAAAACCAGCAATTTCGTCGCATTGTCGGGGACTGCCGGATGGATCCCTGAAGGGGATATGCAAGTTCATCCTGTCTGATGGAAACCACCGAGGGTGGCAGGAAAATGAGGATCGTGGGCCAGGCGAGTGTTTTGTGAAAAACCCGGACACAACTGCCTTCGCATTGTGATCATTCCGGACTCTTCGTTCGGTGAAGCGGGTCTCCGAGAAGTCTCAGATCGTTGTCTAAGTCCGGAATCGGGTTTAAAGTTTCCCATTCCATCTTCGTATTTCTACGGGCAGATTCCATCGCTGCTCGACGTGCTCGACACTTCGGGCTCCGAACCCGTCGGACGACGTCCTAAGCCTATAGCGCATTCGAATCTCGAGGGTTCGAGGTTTTCATGAACGCGACCGACCACTTACGTGAAACCGGCTACCAAAAAAAAAACAATCTATTGTCTTGTTTTTCCAGAATACCTTGACTTATTTTAGAATAAAGGAAAGGAGCAGTAACGCATCGCAGGAAGATCATGAACGCAAAAGAGGCGGGGTGAGAGAGAGAGAGAGAGGTGAAGAGGAGGGGAGAGAGAGGAAGGAAGGAAGGGGGGGGGGCTTTCCCTTATGAAAGTGGCCTTAAGAGCGCGCTGGCTCTGGGTTTCAGTTCCTTGCCGGCCGGCTCCCACCTCACATTCTCTCTCGTGCCTCGTGAGTCGTGACACGTGGATCGACCTCTCATCACGGTGAGATTCCATTCCGAGCCACGATTCCTATCACTAGCCGTTCGTCGTTACCTGTTTTTTTTTTTTAATGTTCAATGAGAACTCACTCCCTTCGTGTATCCTTGAGACATTTTCAAGAAACTCGTGATCTTCGCATCACGCGCGCCAAAGTCGCGTAAAGAGACGGCGCCCACACCCTCAGAAATGCTAGTTACCTATTTAAAGATCGAATCGTCGGTTTCACGAAAGGAAGGAAAGCTTAAGATGGAAAGCGTAACGATGAGTTCTCACGAGTTCGCGATGCACAACAAAGATGAAAGGGAGGGAAATAGCTTGGAACTGCCCGACTGTTACATGAAGTCTTTGCCCTCTCGCAATTGGCGCTCCCCGTCGTACGAACGCCCTTCCGTTCGTGTCTTACAATCGAAGGGCTGAAAGGAAAAATGCAATATCTGCAGTGCTTTCCGCGAGCTCTACACGAAAAGTGAATATTCCAATTACCTTAAAAGTGAGAAAAAGTGGTATGCACATATTGACCAGCTTTTCTTTCATACGATTCCCTAAAACTACGATTTTCGACGAAAGAAAAAAGGTCCTATTAGGGCTAAACCAGCTATACTACTTTCGGACTTTTTTTTTTTGCAGATAACCATTTTTCCTTCAAGCCCTACAATTTCTCTCGGCTCGGTTCGTTACTCCTTCTTAATTTCCCAAGTACGAGTTCCTTCTCGGGCTCGCATCGACGGTCAGGGCAATGGAACCAGGAATCCACAGAGTTCCACGGGGATCGTCCCCGGCCGTGAACACGGTCGAGATCCTGGAAAACCAGTAAAAGCGATTTGCAATTCTAACGAAGGGTGAATAAACGCCATTTCGTTTTCGACGACCTTCGCTTTCCCATTCCTTTACCCTTGACATTAGCTGAACGTTCGACCTCTCGGTACGACTGGGTTTCGCGGAACGTCGCGTCTTATCGCCGTCTCCGTCGAGAAACGTGTCAGTGACCCTAATGGAGGTCGTGGGCGCCGATCGAAGGGAGAGGAAAAGGAATCCCATCATGACTTGCAACGAGAAAACAGTCGATCAACAAGTGCATACAAAATGCATTCGTTACGCGAGGTCGTTGGCTCCTT